GGGATAAAGGCTTTCCACTTCCAGAAGTTGTCCTTGGCAACCAGAAAGTGGCCCAGGTATGAGCTGTCTGGTTTCTCAAAATCATGTGGGTCGTAGAGGACAGTTTTCAAAATCAGGTACACACTTGTGTCCTAAGAGTGCAAAGAGGACCAAAGTGCCATCACGAAGGCATGGCTGGATGGCTTATGGTACATCCATATTGAAAGTGTGCTTTACCACGGTATGACTTTTGCAGCTGGTGGCTAAAATATTTAATTGTTCCACACTGTTTCATTAACAGCTGTATTCTGAGGCCTCTGAGTATCCGAATGACCATGCTCACCACTCTCCCCCAAGACTCTTTGTACTTCTTTATGAAATATCAGCTGCAAGGTTCACATATGATTTAGCAGAGATCTCTAAAGGCTTAAGTGCAGCACTAGGAGCAGAACATATTCTGATTAAATGGTACACATTGGGTGATTTCATATTATGAGTATTTCCCCTAGGTACATACAAGTCAGGAACATATTAACATATAACTCAGGAACATATAACACCATTGGGGTTAAAATAAGTTAAAACCATAATCAACCTAAAGATATGCAACTGTTAAATTATAAAAGGAAATACACACAAATCGACCAAAAATAACCTGTGAAAGTATTAGCATGAACATAAAGACAGACACAGAGGGAGATACACAGCATGGCATACAAAAGCTGCGAAATGATGGATATTGTATGAACTCACCTTGGCGTTAATGTGCATATATGTGATGTATGATTAGTGGAGAGTATACATCAGCAACAAAAGTGTTGAAACACATAGCTGAACAATTTTCCCATGAAAGCAATCCTAGCACCATTTATTAAAGATGCTATCTTGCCCTCCATGGTGATACATACCTGAAACTTCAGTCAAAAGGCTGAGGCAGTTAGATCACCATGAATTCCAAGACACTCTAGGCTCCATAGTGAGTTCAAGACCAGCCTAGATGACACAGCACGACCCTGTCTTGAAAGAAAAGTGCTATCTTTCCTCCAGTGTATTTTTTTGGCCTTTTTATCAAAGTTAATAGCAGCATAATTCATAATAGCCAAGCCTTGGACAAACTCTATATGCCTATCAACATATAAAGAAAATGTGGTAGTTGTACACAAAGGAATACTACTCTTCTATAAAAAAGGATAAAGTTGAGTCATTTCTACGTAAATGGATGTACCTTGAGACCACAATATCAAGTGCAATAAATCAGACACATAAGCTTAGATATCATGATTTTTCCTATATAAAAAATACAAAGATATAATTGAAGAACAAAATACAATACAAGTAATGAGAAGTAGAAAGATAGATCCTTCTCAAATGGGAAGGAGATGCAAAAATCCCAGGAGGGGTCCTGGCATACAACACCATTTCATGCAGGGCTGAGCCCTGCCCCCCAATATGGAAACTGGCAATGTTGCACCCCATTGCATCAGGGGCCAGGACCACCCTCTGCTCCCCTGTCACCCTAGCAAAGTCCTGTGGAGGGCTGTCCCCCGGGATGGCTCTGATGGCCAGGGTGGTATCTAAATCCACACTGCAGAGGAGCCCAGGGCCTTAAAGGCCATGGTTGTGAACTCTAAAACATAGAGCAGAAGGGAACAACGGAGAGAGGGTCTCTGTGAGGCTCCTTGATGAAAGCTGAAGGCCACTGGGAAAGTAAAGAAAAGCTCTGTAATAGAGGTACACTGGCCCACCGGGATTGGTAAATTGGTGGAATCAGCACCTCCCATTGGAGCCATACTCAATTTGTGGAAAGAACAGCTGATACTTGCAGTAGAAGCTTGCAGAGTTCAATGCTGGAAGGAGGTCAAGGAGTTCAACTTAGGCCTTGCAGCCAGAAATGAGCCTGAAACTTAGTGGACTATGGCTGGCTTGCTAAGAATAATTGACTTAGATCTGTACACTCCTGCCCACATTGTCTATTCTTACAACACAGACATAACCTGAAGAAGACCCTATTTTGTTTCCTTTCTTCTTTTTCTGTCTCTTCCTTCTTCTTTTTCTTATTTCTCTCTAGTTTTCTTCTTGTTCCCATCCTATTTCAGACTTTTTCTATTTCTTTCCTTCTCTTGCTTGTTATTATTTTTATAAAAAATTCAACATAGCTTCTAGATTACCTACTTCTATTACTATGCTCTGTTCTTGTCTTTGTTCCCTCACTTTGTCTTGTCATTGTGTCTTCAACATTTCCCAAAGTGTGTGATCTTCCTGTCTTCTAACCTCATCTCTAATCTTTCCCTCTCCTTCTATCTCTCTATCCCTCCATTCCCAACTCCTTCTATGTCCACAACCCAAATGGTACCTTTGCTATATTGATACATATTTTGGACTTGTCCTTGATTTTGATCTAGTTCACATACATGATTAGTGAGACTTGATTAGTGAGACATGGAATGAGATGGGAGGACTCATACAAAGTTCCCTTCTCCTCCCCACCTCCCGACCAGAAGATGTGGTCAGGGACCTTGATGAGCCTTCAGCCAGAGAAAGCCTCAGCCTAATCTACCAAGGCCTCCCTGATTGCCTCATATCCACTCAGGATGACAAAAGGTTGGAACTCAGGCCATTTGTAAAGATGTCACCATATTTCTCCTGCAGCTATGGACACACGGTCCACATCTCACTATATCTCCCAACAGAAGTGTTGTCCACTCTCACATCTGGATCATATCTTCCACGGTAGCCTAAGCTCTGTCAACTGCAGCTCACAGACTTAAATGCCATGGCTCCATTCAAGGCCCACATCTTTTCCCTTTCAGTAGGGTCCCTGGCTCTACCAAAACCTTCTCAACTTTGAATATGAATTGCACTTACTATCCATATCCAGTTTCCTATAATTCCCCTATTGCAGCACTCGAAAAAAATCTAAACCATGAAATCTCTAAGAAGTTCTCCTCCAATGTATTCTCTCTCCATTTGGAAAAGATCCCAAAATCGTAGAGAAGATAGTAGATAGGATAGATGGCACTGGGAAGAACAGAATTCTCAAAGATCATCTGGGGAGTACAACCCGAGTTGGAAACTCAAACTGCCTTTCTACCTGTAAGCTCTGCTTCCCTCCTCTGTGCCACCATACCCTCCCGTCCCTTCTCCTCCCCATCTCAACGCTTGGAAGGACTTGAGAAAATCCGTGGAGTCTATTTGCTAAATATTTCTCAGGAATGGGCGAGGCTCTGGTCCAGGTGGAAGGCAACCCATGGAGGTGGAAGATGCTATCGATGCTTTTGTCTATTTGCTAAATAATTCTCAGGAATGGGCGAGGCTCTGGTCCAGGTGGAAGGCAACCCATGGAGGTGGAAGATGGGCTATAGATGCAGAGTAGCAAGAGGCTGATCAGGATGAAGGAGAAGGTAAAGTCAAACAGCACCAGTATCCCCTCTCTACCTGCCATGCACACTTCTTTCTCCCTTGCAAGGCAGGCTGTTGTATTTGTTGCTATCCTCCTGTGGTTGGTGTAGGAGAGGGTGCCAGGAATCCATTTTAGCAAATATCCTAGAAAGTCTCCAGAGGATACAGGGGAACCAAAGTTTACAGGCCTTATAGCAGCTCAGGGTTCAGCATCTTGGGGTGAATCTGAAAGCCAGCCTCCGCTTCACAATTGGCTGACTAGAGATGTCTCCATGGGCAAAATCCTGGAATGTACAACATCTCTCTCTAGGACGTGTGGTAGTGCAGGACACGTGGAGGCCAGTCCCACAGTGTGGGTGGCTCTATGAGTCAATGCCATGCACTGTGAGAGATCAAGTATAACTGGAAGTCAGATTAGAAACATTCAGTCCTTAGGAGATGGGAATACAGAAGGTGACCATGTGTGTGTTAGAAGGGGAAGTCTACGGAATATGATTTAGCCAATCTTTCATTGATTCATTCATTCCTCAGCAAATGTTTTAAGCATCTGTCATATGCCACACTCTTCTCCAGGAGCTAAATGTGTAACCGTGAAGAAGACAACAGAGTGATCCTTCATGGAGCTGGCATGGGGGTGCCAGAGATGCTCTCACAAAAACTCTCTGTGAAAAAGCCCTGGGACCTGACAACTGATAGGTCACACACTCAAATGGCACAGATCACTTCCTCAGCAGAGACCAAGCTTTGCACGTTTCTTTGCTACTCAGGAGATAGAAAGAAAAATAGGATGAAATCCATGGCACCAATATAGAGTCACACAATTCAAGGAATAAGGGTTGAGGGTGACCTTTTATTGAAAAAAGAAAAAGTGAAAAGCAGCAAGGGAAGTGAATGAGGGAGGACCAAGGAAGCATACGACTGCTCTCTCCAGCATCATACAAACTCCAAATGTCATGAACACTTTAACGAGACAGGCAAAACATCACATTTGGTATAATTTCATTGATATGAAACATCCAGAAGACCAGAAGACAAGTTGATTCAGACCGAAATCAAGATTGGTGTTTTACAGGCTGGGGTAAAGGGAAGAGGAAGCAGATGCTTAATAAGTACAGGGGTTTTTGAGAAAGTAACAAGTCAAAAACTACATAGTGATATATGTATAAGATGTAAATGAACCAGACAGCACTGAACTGTACCCTTTACAATCCTCCATTTTATGCGATGTGAATGTGATCTCATTTCATGATGCCCTAGTGAAGAGTTTCCGCTTTACAGCCAGAGTATGAATCTGCTCACCGACTCTCAGACATTGTAGCCTCAGGCAGCTAATAAATTGCCTGGTCTTTGATATTCATCTTTAAAGTGAGCATGACCCGGACACCCATCACCTGTGGCTATATAGATGGACTCTCCTACATAAAATTGTTCAGCACAGAAGAGTGGAGTATGGAGAGTTGACAAACACAAACTGTGTTTGCTCTGGGAAAGGGAGAAGTCTCTAACCATGAGATGTATCCTGGGAGGCAGAACTCCAGAAGGTCCTTGAGTCAACTTTTTCCTTTGACCCCCAGCTTCTTTATTTACACCAAAGAAAGGGCTCATTATTGTTGATTCATTACCATGCTCTACAACTTTATTCACATGTGAAAGGAAAACAGCATAGAGCTTTAGAAGAACTGAGCCAGTACAAAAAGAAGCCTATAGAAATAATTTTTGCATGGAGTAGCAAGCTGGTAGGGGAAGCATGCTGGCGTACAACAGGATTTTCAGAAGCAGGAAATGAGGGGCCATTCTCTACAGAGGCAGGGCACTGAATGACCCTGAAATCCTTTGTTCCACTTTCCTCATTCCCCTGAGCGAGGCAGAAAGCAAATCTGGTATGTTGGGGCTACTCGGCCAAGACCAACTTCCTGGGGTGTGAGGTCAATGTCCTCAGGAGCCACTGGGCTGGAAATGGAGAAGTTCTGAAGGATGGTGGTGAGGAACAGGAACAATTCAGCTCGGGCGATACCTTCTCCAAGGCAAATGCGCTTCCCTGTGGACAAGAAGATCACAGGTATAGGCCAGGGTGATATTCTTTGTCCTGCACATCCTTAATCCCAGACCCCTGTAGCCATTGCACAGGCATGATCTTTAATCTACAATTTGGGGTCAGCTTGTAGGAGGTCCCCAATCCTTCTGATTCTGGGTACAGATATTTGGGTGGATATTCCATGTTCACTTCTCTAGAATATACAATAGTTCATAGTTCTGTTAGATTTCCAAAGGGTTTAGAGGCACCATAGAAAAGAAAGACCCATTTGTGTATATGTGCAACTACAAAAGTCTGTGCACATTGTGACTTCACATTTTTGGTAGTCTTCATTTCTCAAATGAGAGAATAAGGGTTAAGTTACTATTCATAAGAACTCCGATGAAAAATACCCAGTTCATATGAAAAAATCTATACTGTAGTAACCGTTTTGTGTTTTTACAGGGTGGGATGATATGCCTCTCTCTCTCTCTCTCTCTCTCTCTCTCTCTCTCTCTCTGTCTCTCTCTCATTTTTCACCACTGCTAAGCTCTATGTCTCTGTCCTTACTTCTCTACCTCTTGCTCATCTAAACTGAGGATAGAACAAAGGAGTACAGGAACAGAATCTCATCCTTCCACCCCACTCTTCACATGCATGAGGCTCTAGAAACATTAAAAGCAATAATAATGCCCAACATAACTATAGAGATGGTGAGCAGAATGAAAGGTATGACTAGAGATTCTAAAACAGAAACAGACGAAAAGAAATACATGAGCTCAGGAACATGATAGAAGCCACGAATGCCCAACATGGGAAAGAAATGGAAACCATGAAAGCCTAATACAGGAAAGCAGTGGAATCTATGAAAAACATTCAAATAGATATCCGGGATATAAGAAACACTATTGAAAGTGCACATAACAGATGGAGCCGATGTGAAGACGGGATATCACATACAGAAGATGGAATGGTGTTTAGTGACCATGAAAAGATGCATTGAAAAAGTAAGGGAACATGAGAAATCAATCCAATACCTCTTCAATGATGCAAAGAAGATGAATATAAGTCTAGTAGGAGTCTATGAAAATGCAGGTGAAAGTATAACTTACATAAAAAACCTGTTCAAGGAATTAATGACGGAAAATTTCTCAGAGCAAAACAATTTTATGTACATATGCAAGAGGTTTACAGTACTCCAAAGAGTTATGATCACAAAAAATCTACACCTAGATATGCAATAAGCAAGATCCCAGAAATTCCACAGAAGAATGAAACACTACAAACAATTAGAGAAAAAAACAAATCACGTGCAAAGGAAAGCCCATCAGAATCACAGCAGACTTTTCACCACAATCCCTCAAGTCACACAGAGCATGGAATGATATATTTCAAGCCCTAAAAGACAACAACCTCCAACCTGGACTGATTTATCCTGCAAAACCATCTTTCAAAATTGATGGGGAAAAAAATACTTCCATGAATGCCTGAGAAACATGACGAATACCAAACCAGCACTTCAAAGAATTCTAAACAATATCCTAGAAAAAAACAATGAAGATCATAACTCCATGAGGCACAATAGAGGAAATCCAGCAGGCAAGGCAACAAATTAAACAGAGAGGGAGAATAAAAATTCTAAACACCCCAATTACAATCGGTCAAGTTTAAAACGTAATTAAAATGTTGCCAATAAAGAAAAGTCCAGGTCCTAAAAGCTTTACTGCTGAATTCTACAAAGCATTTAGAGAAGAACTAGTGCCACTACTTTTCAGTGAAATTGAAAGAGAAGCAATACTTCCAAATACATTCCCAGAAGCAAATATTACTTCTATTCCAAAACCAGGGAAAGACCCAGCCAAGAAAGAGAACTGCATGCCAGTCTCACTAATGAACATAGATGTAAGAATTCTCAATAAAATACTGGTAAACAGAATACAGAGGGTCATCAAGAAGATCATACACCTTGATGAAGTTGGATTTATCCCAGGGATGCAAGGATGGTTCAACATATATAAATCTATAAACATATACATTATATTACAGAGTCAAGGACCAAAACCATATGATCATCTCAATAGAAGCAGAAAAGGCACTTGACAAAATTTAAACACCCATTCATGATTTTTTAAAACCCCTCAGAAAATTGGAATAGATGGCCCTTATTTCAATTTGAAAAGGACATCTATGCAAATCCAACAGCCAATATGGTCAAAAAGCCTAAAGCTTCACACTAAAATAGGGAACAAGACAAGGATGTCCACTGCCACCACTCCTGCTCAATATAGTTTTGGAAACATTAATGACAGAAATTAAACAATAAAAAGAAATAAAAGCAGTGAAGATAGGAAAGGAAGACTTTGAACTGTCATTATTTGCTGATGATGATGATCATATGTTGCACTTCACATAAGATTTCTGCCAAAAGACTTCTAGACTTAATTGACAGATTCACTAAAGTAGCTCGATAAAAGGTCAACACTCAAAAATCAGTAGCCTTCTAGTACACAAACAGACTCTCTGAGAGTGAAATTAGGGAAACAATCCCTTTCACAATAACATCCCAAAAAATTAAATATCTAGGAATCAATCTAATGAAGGAAACAAAATACCACTACACTGAGAATTACAACACTCTGAAAAAAGAGATTGAAGAAGATATAAGACGATGGAAAGACACCCCTTCTTCCTGGGTAATAAGACCCAATATAGTGAAATGGCATACTTCCAAAACTGATATATAGATTCAATGCAATCCCTATTGAAATCCCAAAAGTATATCTTATAGAACTAGAGAAAACATTCCAAAAATTTTAGAGACCTAGAATAGCAAAATCATAATCCCCAATTTGAAATTATCCTACACAGCTACTGAGATAAAAACAGCATGGTGCGGGCAAAGAAACAGATCCAAGGATCATTGAAATCGTTTAGTAGATGCAGAAGCAACTCCAGACATACTCAGCTATCTCATCTTTGACAAAGAAGCCAACCATCCTCGCTGGAGGAAAGATAGCCTCTTTAATAAATGGTGCTGGAAAAATTGGATTTCAGCTTGCCAAAGATTAAAACTAGACCCCTATCTTTCACCACGTATGAAACTAAAATTCAACTGGACTAATGATCTAACTATAAAAGCAGAAACACTAAACTTGCTGCAAGATAAGGTAGGTAGAACTCTTGAAGACACTGCTATAGTAATAGACTTTATGGACAAATCTTCAGTCGGATGGAAACTAGCACAAAGAATCAACAATTGCATTCTCATCTTTTTGAAAAGCTTCTGCACTGAAAGAGAAACCACCAAAAGAGCTAAAAGACAGTCTACAATGTGGGTAAAAATGTTACCAGCTCTTCCTCAGACAAAGGTCTACTATCCAGAATATATGAAGAACTCAAAAAATTAGACATCCCAAATTTATAAACTCAATTCAAAAATGGGCATCTGAAATAAACAGACATTTCTCAGACAAAGAATTAAAAGGAGCAAATAATCAAATGAGGAAATGTTCAACATCATTGGTCATTCAAGAGATGCAGATGAAGACAACACTGAGATTCCACCTCACCCCACAAAGAATGGCTCCTATCAAGAAATTAATCAATAAAAAATGTTGGCAGAGGTGTGGGAAGAAAAGTACTCTTCTTCATCGTTGGTGGGAGTGCACACTGGTGCAATCACTGTGGAAATCAATATGGAGATACATCAAACAACTAGAATTAGAAGTCCCATTTGATGCGGCTATTTCCCTGCTGGGTATCTTCCTAAAAGAATTAAAAGAATCATACTGCAGTGATATATATTCACCCATGTTATAGCAGCACAGATTGTACTAGCTAAAACTTTGAAACGTGACCTGTAAACTTAACAATGAATAAAAAAGTTGTGGATTTTTTTTATACAATGGATTACTACTCAGCCATAATGAATGAGAAATTAGAGACTTTTATAGCTAAGTGGAGGCACATTGAGGACATACACTTAAGGAAAACTAATGGGACACCTGTGTAAACATCAAATAGTTTCTCTGGTGTGATAAACTAAAAGTGTAAATATTAATTAAAATGAATAATTGATAATGTGAAAGAGAAAGAAAAGGTTCAAAGAGGGTAGGGGAAATGGGATAGGTACGGGAAAGAGAGAAGGGAAAGGAAAAAATTGGAGAAAAGGAAAATATGAAAACAAAGTCTCCATAAATAGGGAAGGGTGGAGGGGGCACAGAGAGGGCAGGGGAATGAGGAAAAATAAGAACCAAGATATATCATGTAAAGTTATAAGATTCCAATGATGAATGTAACTGTATTGTATACCTAAAATGTACCAATAAACAAAAAGAAAACCATGTAAGTACCAAAGAAAACAATTTTTCAAATGCTGCTTAGCAAATTACCAGAAACTTTATATAAAGTATTAAGAACTACTCATGTAGGATTTCTCAGGGTTTTATACAACATCAAAAGCAAGAAACATTAGTTAGACTAAGAGATTTAAAACATATACATTTCAAATATCACTATTAATTCTTGGAATCCAAAAGGTAACCCCATTCATGACCAGAAACAGAAAATTTTCGTTTCTATAAACAATATTTTAAGTGAAAAGATAGAGACGATAATGCCTAGCTCTGAAGATTAAAGAGTATAAGCATGAATATTAAGAGAAGAAAAACCAAGTAAGCTTTTTAAAATACATGTAAAATCTTACCATGAAGATGCAGATCTAACAAAGATTTTATTCAAAGTCGGAGGACAGATACTAAAGATTCTCTGGTTTATTTGATTTTCACTGATTCAGATATTAAGTCTACATCTATCACAGTCAAACTACTACATTTGGCATGCATGAGATCCCTAATCAACTTGTAATCCATCTGCAATGAAGTCATATTATTTTTTACTATATGTAGTCAAATAACATATTTGATTCATAGTTTTCTTCCAATAAAAGAATCTTTGAAGTTGAATGAATATTTTTGAAATGTACAGGAATTTAAATTACAAGAAATAAAAAATGAAGAGCTTTTCTAGGCTTTATATACCATGAAACATATATATGTTTATAGCTGTATGGATAGGCTCTTTCCTTATCAGTATGCTATGGACAGATGTTGAAATAAAAGTGTCTTCAAACACCAATATTTGGCAACATAACTGGAAGGAAGTTCAGATGAATGAAGAAGAAATTGAGAAATAAACTGGTTTTCAGCTCTGTTGTGGGTTGAGTATTATTTCACTGCCTAGTTCTGAATTTAAATTTACTTGGAAAGATTTCCACCTGAATAATGTTGGACACTTGGTGGTCCAGATGGTGGCCCAAATAAATATGAACTGTGTTTTCTCAGTTAAAAAACAAAACAGAACAAGCCAGAGTACAGATTGAGAACCTGGACAAATGAATGTACCAAGATCTTCCCCAGCTCCTCACTGCTCCAAGTTAAATCCAAGCCGCTCCCACAGCCTTCTAGGCCCTGCCAGCTGAGCGCTTCACCTTGGCTCCTTTCCTCAGCTACACACCAGAGCTTTTTCATTTCTCAAAGGCACCATGAGACTGCACCTTCAGTCTCCTGGCCTTTGCGCTTACCTTGGTCTGGAACACTCTTCCCAGTGAATGATCAAAACTCACATGTGACTTTCAGCCTAGACACCAGTGTCTTCTTAAATTGTTTCTTCATCAACCCACCAAACTCAGCATTTCCTATTTTGTGGTTCCCAAAACTACCTACAGAGGACTGATTATGACAAAAAATAGTACTGGCATTTGTAAGAATTTACTTTCTTCCATGCACTCCTAAGTATAAGGTAGGCATCAAGGCATTTAAAGGCATCATCATTTGTGACTACCTGATGAGTGTCCATCTCCCTACTGCACTTTACATTTCTTGGGTCTGACACTGTGACATTTGATTAATGCATTCTCTTAACCTCCAGAAGAGTACTGGTTTCAGAACAATGCTAATAGATGAGGTTGCTCACTACTATTTTTGTTTTGTTTTCTTTTGTTTTCCTGTTTGAAATCAGTACATGTTTGCAGTCCATGCAGTTACTATATCTAGAGGAGTGGGTCTGTGTACCTAATACAGCCTGGTTCATTTCTCATCCTCTTCCCCTTCTCACCCACCCCATCCCTCCTCCTTCCCCATTTGCACTCTTGTTGATATTACTAACCATAGCTGATTGTTATGACAATAATGTTTACATTAATTGATGTTGCTAAGTTCCAACACCTGCCATATTTTATTCTACTTATTCCCCCTTTCCTTCACCCTCTCCTTTGCCCTTAGGCTCCTGGATCCCCTTCCCATTTGCAAGAGGTATATCCTTTTCTCTTCTATTCATCTGTTTATTTTTTTGGTACACTTTAGTTATACAATATGCTGATACTCATCATTGGATATTTGTACTTTTACATGATGTAACTCAGTTTATATTTTCCCCATTCCCCTGCCCTCTCTACAGCCTTTCCGCCCCTCCCTATTTACAAAAACTTTATTTCCATTTCTTTCCTTTTCTCATATTTATTCATTTCCCTTCTTTCCTTTCCCATACACCTCACAACTCACCTTCTCTTTTGGAATTTTTCTTTCCATTTCATATTATTTTATCCATCTTTTATTGTGCTCTTCATTTATACTTTGCCTTACTCGATAGAGAGACACATATGCTTTGTTTGTTTGCTTTAGTTTGGCTTTTTTGAAAAA